AGTTGCCGGCTGGGCTTAAACCATGACAAAACCACACCAGTACTGTGAGAATTCTAAGAAAAATGCTTATGAAATTCAAAAAGTATTCCAATAGCTGCAACTGTATTGCACAGCAGTAACAATGATAAAGGCCATAATGATAGCAGGGTGAGAATATGAACAAGCTTTTGTGAAAAAATGCACTTCTTATTGTTTGCCTGAAACAGAATTTGTTTTCATATGTGATCATTGAGTCCACTATTAATTCACACAGCTTGATGTTTAACACAACTACAATTGCTTATTATCTCCTGTGATTTACTTCCATTGGAATCTAAATCATGATGGGCACAAATTAAGCTCCTTACAGTTCTATGAGGCAACTGTAATGAGCATATGCTCCAGTTTATTAGACTCTATGTTACTTTCACTTAGCATCTAGGGAGACTTTTATTCATCTCATCCTTAAGTTGATTTAACTGAAATGCACTATAAAACCTCACTGCAGAAGAAAGGTACCTGCTGCACTGAATCTGCACTCCAACCCTAATCTAGAAGAACTGCAAAGAGAAAGATGTCACTACAATGAATTATTTTTCTGTGTGTGTGGAAATGCCTGCCTTTGCTATCCAGACACATCTACCTGGTAAAATAGTTGAGTAGCTATTTAGCCCTGTTAGGATAGGGCTATGCCAGAACAACGAGAAGGTGAGAAGCAGGATCCTGACTGCAGTCACACTGTGCTAAGGACCTGACACTTGCTCAGAGAAGGGCAACTGCAGCAACAGCAGTTGTATTCATCCTTGAACCCCAGACCACTATTTTCCTATAGCTTAGAGAGACACCAACATCATTTCACAGGCAGTGAAGAAGAGCTATCAGATAATTAATTACCACTGATAACTTTAAGCCTAAGTTGACTCAAACCAGTACATTTACGGGGGTGTTGACATGCAAACCCAAGAGCCATTCTTGTGCTTATTAGCTCTGTATTTATCCTACATTTAAATTTGCTATACTTCATGTGATGTTTTCATGTATTTTGTTTAACAGCCACAGTAAGATTCTCCAGGAAGAGATACTAGTATATTGTCAAATCTACAGCAATTTTCAATGAAGACCAAGGCACTAAACAGAAGTTCTGATGCTGGACAGCCTGAAAAAGTGGTGGAAAGATTATCACAAGAAAAATACTCAATTTCCTTTACACTATATGAAGTGCCAGAACACAGCACCAGGAATTGAGTCACTATTTAACATGGGCCTATTTAACTATTTAACTATTATTCCGGGCTTTGTTTTGTTGGGATTTTTTTCTCTCCCTTTAAGTAAGATTTTTTTTTTACTGCACTTTAAAATACATCTAAAATCATAAAAAAATCTCAGGGACTGTTTGGAGCTTTCAATATGCAATGACAATAAAGGGAGCTACCTGTAATAAATTAGCGTTTTCAACATTTCTTTCTTTCTTTGGTAAAATCAGCTTTGCTATTGTATATATTCCATTTGCCTGTAAACAGAGAAAGGTCAATATATTATATAGCACACAAATAAAAAACAATGTTACTTCAGATAAATCAGAAGCTAATACCAATTGACAAGTTCTCAACATCCTACAGCACACCTAAATTATAAACTCAAAGGGTTATATGTACATAAGAATTAAGTCATTGTTACATTTAAACTGATACTAGAAAGACAGCTTGCAAACAGATCATGAAGAAATACTTCTGTTTCTAGAGGTGAAGGTGATTGCAGCAACAGATCTCCCATCACCATGTGGATATTTTGAATTGCCAGGGACCAAAAGGCCAGTCCCAATAAATAGAAACTGAAGAAACACCAGAATTGATAGCTTGAGGTGTATGTCTGTACCTTCAGTAGGAGTTTGTGGAAATGTTCCATTTTCATGTAACCATGTGTCCTCCCCCAGTGTATCCATTGTGCTGGTTTGATAGTTGGGCACTGGCAGATTTAGCTACAGTATTGCTCCCAGTTACTTGACAAGCTCCCTGTTGGAGACTACTCTCCTCTCTAGCAGAGTTGAAGGGAACCAGCACAATGTGCCGGCTCTGCAGAGGCTCTGCTGCAGTTCCTGACATGTTTTCTTAAACTGCTCTTGAAGGTAGAGTTAAGCTAAGGTTTCAGGCTGTAGGGCCATTGAGTCATAAACACATTCTGCCCTGATACCAGAATTGCTGCAGACTACTACCAAGGCTGTAAGTTGAAAAAAGAACAGAGGATGGACAGGTAGAGGACAGCCACAGCAGAAGCTAACTTTGCCACTGTATGAGGTAATCCTTTAGACGTCACATTGGTTGACTTTCTCAGCACATAACTGAAAGAGCTGCAAATCTTCTTCCTCTATGTTTCTAACCTGAGTTCCTTCATCTCGCTTATCATGCAACTCTCAGTTTTATTATCACAGAAAGAAGCAGGATTTAAAATTAAAGAGGCTGTTGTAGGGTGGAACCCCAGTTGAAATGAACATGCTTGAAGCTATGTTCTGCTGTGAAAGGAGCACGTTGGCTGGTGTTTTGACAAAGGAGGGAGGGATCATTGTCTTTTAACAGGATGGGTGGGAGAACTTGAGCTTGAAACATATTTTCCCAGCCTGCACATTGTCACATCAATTTGTAAGAAATTTAATGACACCACCATTGTCATGCACTGCTACAACAATGCAGAAAAACTCTATGATAAAACCAGCCTTCTACTTCCCAAGACCTCCAGGAGTTACACTGTATTCAAAACTTACACGGTTAAAATAAGTCTAAGTCAGTATGGTTTATTGACAACTGTAGTGCTTAACATACACAAAAAATATCTATTCTTTTTTCCCAAACTTAGTTCCATTCCTTTCCTCTTAACCAACAGTTTTGAAATAAACATGAACTTCTTTCCTGGTCATATGCGAGGTTCTTCGTTCTCTCAATTCCCCTAGGAATACTTCTAAGTGGGTTATAAGCTAACTTGAAGGCTTTGATCACCAGCTTAACATTTAAAGTATGAAAGCTGGCTACAGCTATTAGCTGATATTAATGTCCTACGTATTTGTGTTTGACTTTGTCTGGAATACACACCAGGGATTTTAAGACCAGTTTGCAGAACCACAGGTTCTAGCTGATTTAAATATTACATTTTAAAATGAGGTTTAGAAACACAACCCTGGGGATAGAGTGCCAGAATTTATGTCAGAAATACTCTGAGGAAAAGAGAAATTGTGAAACAACAACACGCCAATATAAGCTGCACAGAGTTTGTTTTAATAAACTTCATGAAATTCAGAATTTATATTTCTCAGTTAATTCTGTTATTACTTTAATTTACTATCCTATTTTGAATTGGCAAAAGCATGTCAACAGATGCCAAAATTAACCTTGCCTGAATAAGGCTGTTTATTCTTCCAGACAACTAGATACATATGTTCATATCTTTTGTCTCTGTGTGTAAATGTATAAATAAACAGAGATATTAAAGTTATAGAAAGGCATATTTTCCAATACTTTTCAAATGCATTTTGTTAATTAAATCATGGTGACAAATAAGAACAATTAAGTCAAATGATAAGCTCTAATGCTTTACTTAATTGAATAAAGTCTTCCTACCTGTACAACCTGGTAAGAGTTAGTCTCATTGAGCACCAGTTCAGTAATAGCTGCACAACAGGCTAGAATAAAAATTCAGATGTAACATTTAGGGCCAGATTCAAACAGACATTCAGATAGAGTGGTGGGCTAACATTAGCTAAGGGCCAAATGCCAATCCTGCTGTACATTCACTCTCCCTCCTTAACACACCGATGTTTTAGTTGTTGCTCACTAGCACTTACCCTGATCAAGGACTTCTCAGTCTCATGCTCTGCCAGGGAGGAAGGGCACAAGAAGCCGGGAGGAAGCAGAGACAGGACACCTGACCCACACTAACCAAAGGGGTATTCCATACCACAGCATGTCATGCCCAGTATAGAAACTGGGGGGAGTTACCCAGAAGGGCAGGTTGCTGCTTGAGTTAGGATGGGGTTTACATGCTTTTGATTCTCTTTATCCTGACCAGGGAAGAAGAAGGAGGTAGCGAGTGAGCAGCTCCATGGTGCCGAGTTACCGGCTGGGTTTGAACCATGACACATAGGAAATTTTAAGAGAGGCAAAAATATGATGAAATAAAAATCATCTCAGGCTACAAAATTGAAAAAATATATATGTTTGAAATATTTTTACAGGTGAAAGTAATATATATGATTCCCACGTAGTTAATATTTTATCCTTTGCTTCTTTCTAGAAGTGTGCTTTTTGAAAACATGTGCTGGCATTGCACATTTGGAAATAACCACAGCTGACTTGGTGCTCCTGCTCCCTAAAGCAGGTATTAAATTTTACAATTTCAAGTTTGAGCTATTTTTAATCCCTTCATGCAAGTCTAAGTAGACACATGACAGAGGATTAGGCCTTATAAACCTACCTGCTTGAACTGAGAAAGTATTTTCTTGCATCTCATCAGGACTCAAATCATTTGACAAATGAAAATACTGGATTCTCCCTGCTGCATTCGCACTGGATAAACTTCCAACTGAAGAGCGATCAGAAACAAGATTTCTTTCCCTGAAAAAAGGAAATAAAATCAAACCAAATTGCAGTGCAAAAAAATGGCTTACCATATCTTTGCTAACCATTTCTGAAGTTCTATAGATTTGGATGTTTTTCACTAAAATAGCCAATACACTTTAAACAACCAAACAAACCTCTAAAGGTAAAATGCCTTTACCACATTCAGCAATTATATTCACTATTCTAGCTCATTAAATAAATGTCTGATTAATAGGAAATCTAAGTAGACAGAAATGACATGCTTATAATTATTCATTGTTTATACAGTGAAAGCATTAAAACCACCTCAGATAACAATGAAATATGCATGGCTGGAAAAAAAAAATACTGGTTATTCATTACCTTCTAAATAGCTTTATAATTTCTGCAGACATCACATACAGCTGAACAAAACAAAGATGCTATTTGATAAAACAGGGCTTGGTCAAATGTAGCTTAAAATATGAAACAGTCTCATATAATTGCCACAATGCTGAGGACTGAACACTTACCCCTGTAAAATATGAAGGAGCTGTTTAATTCCACCCCAAATCCGGATTTCCACACTAGTCTCAGGATCCTCACAAACCTGTACCAGAATCCAAACTACACTCCATAGAAGTTTGATATGATCAGAATGGAGTAAACTGAGCAAGACTGGAACTCCTTCATACATTCTTATTTGCTCTTTGACCTGTGACTCTGCACAGAGGAGACGTAACAACTCTGCTGTGAGCCTAAAAAAAAAAATCATCAAGGAATTTTAACAGTAACTCTATCATTACTGGATATTGTCAGTTAGCAAAGGGGGGAAAAACCCACAGCAAATGTTTAAGCAAGAGCAGAGACCTCCTATAAGAATAATAATAATAAAAAAGTAGTTAAGGAAAACTGCTTAAAGTCACTGTAAACTGTAAAAACACTGTAAAAAAAGGGCGATTTTCACAAAGGATGAAATTGTATCTACACTGAGTTTGGCTATCAGCATAGGCAGCCAAGCATACACAGCCAGGATGGGATGTGGCAAGGTGGACTGCAGTCATCTGCAGTACCACCTTCTTAATGGCATTAGTGCTACAGGGAACACTGATGGCATTAACTTGTGAAGTCCATCTATGGAACTGGAATAATTCCACAAATAATTGTGATTCTTCTCTAGTATGATTTGAGTACTAAGTTTAGAAAGGGGATTGGAGATACACTTTTAAATGTTTATACAAGATTTTCATTAACTTCACCCCAATTAAACTGAACTTTCCCTAGAAATAGGGTTAGAGATTTCCACTTTCACTTGAAGCAAAAAAAGCTGCATGTGTGTTTGATGAAACATATCAATTCAGACTCACATCATAATTCAAAATTATTCTTATGTAGCATTGAACTTCATCCATTTCCTGTCTACATTAAAATTCATATATTATTACAAGTTTTTTGGTTTATGCATAATTTAAATAATTTCAGGCTCAGAAACTAAATAAGATCTTTTGCTATGTTCAATTCCTTTATCTTTAGTCTTTTGTAAAATAATTTACGTGTGAAATAATTAAGTATGAAATTTAAAAAATAGTTTAAAATGTGATAAGTGACACTATCAAATTTGAGAGTCTTTCAGTTTCTTACTGAAATGCAGATGTACTATGTTCAGCTTGCAGTCTTAGCTAAAGAACTAAAGGATCCTTTATGATTTTCTGACTGAAGGGACATGGGGTCTGACTTGGCCTCTGGCAGAAACTACATCTATATGTCTTGCAATTTTTTTACTAGTTTACATTGGGCATCCCAGGAACTGTCAGAGTTCAGTGCAATTTCCATCTAACCACTCAGGTCTGCCAGGAGCAAAAAGGAGGTGCACTGAGCAAATTGACTGCTATCACTTTATGGTAACATGACAAATTATTTGCACTGCACTGTAGGCCATCAGTGGAGAGAGGGGACATAGCTTATAACAAAACTACTAGAAAAGATTTTGCTGTATCAGTGTCTGATTCAAAATAGACAGGTGTCAGAACTTTACCTTGAGTATATTAAAGTGGCACATTAAACAATTCTTCCAAATAAACATGTCCCTAAACAAAAAAGTCAAAATACGTTTTAACACAATTAATCTACAAGTGAAGTCTCACCTTTTAGAAAGCAAATCGTATTCACGCAATATCACCAGCAAGTTCTCAACAATGCTGAGCTCACTTATCTTCTCCCTACATTCTGGACTACAAATTGATTATTCCTGGCATTTATATGAAATTAAATTATATTAAGAACCCCACATCGCTCTTTAGCATCCCTCCTTATACATTTGATCAATTATTTTTCTTCTCAAGTCTTAAGTAATAATATCATACTGTGCACACAAATATTGTGCACACAAACATACGCTGTCAAGAGTGACAATGCAACAATTTCCAATTTTCCCAATACAAAAAAGGTAAATGTGAATGCATAAAAGACACAAATGTATTTTATTTATTTCTTACTAGAAATTAAGCAAATTCAGTACATTTTTAGAATCAACCACAATTTCCATAAATACTTGTAATATACTCCAAACACTTTCTTGCCCAGTTCATATGTCATGCATTTAATTCTGTGAAGAAAGTTAAACGGAAGTTGAAAATTAATATATAACATCATTTAAGTTAAAACTCATATAAAAAAATGAACTCTAGTAGAATGAAGGAAATTTGGGAAACAAGAAAATCTGGTGAAATGTCACAAATTCCAACTGATCTCAAGGAATTGTATCTATGGTCTTCAGTTTTGTAATTTTCCTTATAATTTTTCATCGAAAAGAAAAATATTGCTATAGCAGTGTGGAAGTCAGCAGCACAATAATGCAGAAGCGGTTACTTCTCTTCTATAAAAATATTAAGGATGAAAGATGCCGTATTTTCCTTTTACTTTTTTCCTCTCCATAACCAGGAAAAAAAAGTCTTATTCTTTATCTAAAACAGCCATTAGTGAAGAGAGGATACATATATATGGATTTGAGTGTATGCATTCATTATTTACTGCACTGAACAATATTATTGCTGGTCATTGTGAGACACTGTTATATTAAGGTTAGCATAAAAGATTTTTATATGCAGGAAGTCAGTAAGAATTCCAGAATCCTGCATAGGGATTGAAAAGAGAGGTTCTATGACTCCAGTCTTGCAAAGTTCTCCACATGAGCAAGAAATTTACTGCAAGGACCAAAGTTTCTCCTTAGTTTCCATTGCTTCAGTATAAAATTGAGCACGTCGTTGACCTCCACAGAACAAGGCCACATTTTGAAAATGTCTTCCTCAAACAGCAATTACAATATTGTTCAAGAGATTACATCAAAATGCTTATTGTGAACTACAGCACATTAAGTTGAACCTACCTTTCTGCTAGACTAGTCAGAGCAAGGAGGGCACCCAAAAGCACATTGGTGTCTCTGGCAGATAACAAATTTACTAAGGTCTGGAAAATGAAACATGAAACAATATAAATAAATAAGTGTTACATTCTTTTATGACCCAAGCACATATATAGTTACTTGTTGACAAGACAAAATTAAGGTACCAAATCTTTACACAATACACTAAAAGTCCTAGGTATATATAAAGTACACTTTAATATACATTTAAACTCTTAGAATACACCCAGTCTTAGGACAAGCAAGGATGTTTCTTCTCAAACGCAATTAGCATCTCTCTTTACTGCTAAAGCATCTGCCCAACTTAATATATCATTGTAAAAATTTGTTCCCATGTAAAACGCTATGGAACTCTAAATTAAGGCCTCCTGAAGCAGAAAGTTCATTTTCGGCTTATATTTAAACAATACTATATGTTATTTAAGGTTCTGCTTTGTATTCTGTTAATGCTTTATATCAAAGAAAACTTCATATTTGTCTAGATTCTCTAAAAATACATTGTGTGTTATTATCTGATCACAACTGCCAATGTTTTTACTGCAGCATAGTGGAATCACAAAGCACTAGTTAGACTGATCCTGACTTTTACTGTTTCTCAGTTTGGCCACAAACTGGTTAAGTGTAGATCCTTAGACTGACAGTAAAGTTAGCAAGGGATGTCCAGGTTGTCACTGTTTCATTTAGATACACAACACTTCATAAGTGGAAAATCTATGTAAATATAGAAATAAAAATTTATTTATATTTTTTAAATATATAAAACTATTTGTATCATAGTGACATGTAGAACAGTGTACTAATAATAAGTACTAATTTATATATGAATGAGTTTAGTCCAAACATTTAAGATCTATTTATCTCAAACAACCAATAACCATGCATCAGGGCAATTAGCTTGCATACTTCTGTAAAACACAGAACTGAGATTATCTTACTTTACAAGCTTGACAATGTAAGGAATTTACTCCCACGTAGATCAAGTCTGAAAAGCATAAGTCATTCAGTTGTGTAGTTAATTTTTTATAATTAGAATTTTATAAAACACTTACTTTATGTGCTCCACTTGCTATAATCCATTCTCTTTGATTATTAACAGCAGCAAGCTTTTGGAAAATGTCTATGGAACAAAGGAAGTCACATCAGTTGAAGTTTTACTGCTCAATATTTTTCATTTTACTAATCAGATAATAAAGTAAAACACTGGATAAGTTCTTTGAACCATGACCAGCTCATTTTAGTCTATTACTTCAGTGCATAAAGAGGTAGTAATTTCTTAAAGAAATACTACTTATGTACAAAAACGAGATATACTTTTCCACAGCAATTTCAGTTTTTACTCATTTGATGATGCCTACAGTAAATCTAGTAATATCTTACTTACTAACCATCTCAAGCATTTTAAACATTTTAAGCCTCACAAAAAAGTTGGAAGTGCCCTCAAAATTTAACACTTACATGTCATGTTGACCAGCTTGTCTACATTATGCTGCTCTTCTCCGTAATCAAGATAGCCATTTGCTACTGTATCCATATACTACGGGGGAGGGGGAAGAAAGGATACCATTAAAAAGGTTTAATTCATAAACCTAGAGTGTAATCGACAGAAATAGCCTGTAGGTGGTGCATATGTTTCACAAAAGAAAAATAGATAAGTCTGCAACATCCTGCATACTTTTGCTGTAAAACGTGTCAGGGAACAGTAGAGAACTTGGAAGCATAAGAATTCAAATAGCAAGTGTAAAATTCCACAAGAGGGAGATCTGGAGAAGACTATCAGATACAATGACCCTACTTTTAAACCCAAAATTCCCTTCTTTGCAAGGTGCTAGATGTTGATAAGAGTTTTCTCACAAATTATCACTTCATGTGTCTGCTCTCAGACTTTTCCCACAGCATCTACTACTGGCCACTGCTAACAGGTGGTTCAGACATAGCTAACTGGTGGGAAATCATTGTCAATCTTTTTTAATAACCCTAATAACTTCCTGCTCAAACAATTTTTTCCAGGAAATGAGAATTACCACAAGCATGTAATGTTTGTTAGTACACAAAATCATTATGTAATTCTCAGCGTCACTTATATATTGGTTTTACATATGGTGGCATTTTGAAATTTCCAGAACACTGTATGGGGAAACTACCACAGTTTCAAGTAACTGGTATAAAGAGGTGAGAGCTACAGCAGCAGCACATAGTTTAGAAAGAAAACTCACGAGTTGGACACTATTATGCAAAGTAATATTGGTAATACTAATTTCATTAGTGTTTTCTACTTAAACATCCCAAAACACTTAAAAATGAGAACAGAGGTTTTTATCTGAAACTGCCCAAAAAATAAAAATTAAAAAAAAAAAGTTTTTAATGTTGTATAGAATAGTGTAACGGAGGACTTTATTGATTTAACAAGAAGATTTGAAAAAACAATTTAGCTTGAAATCACTGGGAAATGTCTGAGGGATTTCTGTCTTAGCTATAACTTTTTTCAAAGTGGAAACCCGTTTAACAGTTGATTTTATCTTGTTGCAAAGGACACGAAAGATTAAGTTCCCCAGTTCAGAAAGCATAAAAATTGCACCTTATGACTTTTTAAATTCTCTATGCCAGCAACACCTGCATAGTAAAAATGATTATCGATTACACAATTTGGGCTCCTGTTGCTGAGGATGACACCTGTAGATGTTGCCAATGTCTCAGCAGGCCGTTGCACTTTGCACTCTGCACTCTGCAACCTCCTTTAAAAGTATGGCTAACCATTAATGACATGCAACACTGGAAGTGCCAAGCAGTTCCTGTGGGAACCATATCCATTACAAACTAATAATCTTTAACTCCTGCAACTTTAGAGATGTTTCAAACAGGTGACTATCTGACCAAAGGACTCACAGTGCAGTATTGGTTCTTTGAAATACAGGTGGCTCCATAAATATTAATGAATGATGACTGCATTCCTGAATGACACATTTGTTATAAAAATTGTAACAAATCAATTTATTTTCTAGAAAGAAAACTCCCAAGAATTTCAAATTTATTCAAGATATTTCATATCTCACTGCTAAATTGACACTGATGAATAAGTATTAAAAACTGAGAAGTAAAGCAGTATTAACACAGAGCAATAATGATCATGTTTCATAACACAAAAGTGCTGCAGTCCCTAAATTTAAACCTGTTTCAATATTCTGTCGCTATGCTTTTACCTTTGAAAAGTCATTTGCTATAGTACAAGGTGACTTTACTCATTCTTCCTTTCTCCAGATTGAAACAATTGTGCTGACTTTTCTAATCCTCCTTCCACTTCAGGAGGCATTTGTTAAGTCTCCTAACTGGAAGACCTGGGTTAACACTACTATATTTTAAGGACAGTTTCTTTGTACACTAGTGAAAAAAAAACACACACCAACTGCTTATGTGCAGAGGGATAGAGTCACTTCTTCCATAAAACAAAAATTTATGTACACTGCTTTTTCATTCTAACCCTAATGATCTGACATGCAACATAATGGACAAAGGTACTATGAGGAACTCTACCTGAGCTAGATTTTCAATCGCACCCAAGCTGTGGAGCATTTCCTAATAGAAAATAAAAAAACATTAACAAAAAAAAGAAAGAAAAAAAAGGTCAAAATACAGAAAACACTAGAATGAGAGCATGCTAGAACATAAATGATCTGTTTGTTATGAATGTTGAGAAACTTAACTCCAGTGGTTTAAGTCAATGAATTCTGGAGATATTTAGCACCTTCAGAATTCAGAATATCTTACAGTAAGTAGATAAATAAAAACACAGAAGTGAAATTTTAAAGATTTTAAAACTGGAAAAACAGTATAAGCTTTGGAACACATATTAAAAATATACACAAATGTCTTAACAGATGTCTGAAGTTTAGTCCAATGAATAGTGACTATAATAGCCAGAATAAAATTAAAATCTATTTATTTTCAGTTGAGAGCATTGGGCAGCTAGGAGGAATAGGCAGCTTTCCATTTTCTTCCCCTACTACATTATGGGAATTTTACATATATACATGGTAAAGTCAAGCACGGGGTCAAAGGCTCCAAGCAATAACCAAGCCATCTGTTATAGAGATTTACAGGTTCTTTGTTAAGGTTAGCAATGACAGACCCTACATAAGGAATATCAGTACTTGAGCAAGTTATTTAGTAACAGTGCAAATTCACTCTTGAAATCTGTTTGTTTGCAAATCACATCCTCACATATAGAAATATACACATGCAACAACACGAGTCATATGAATGATGTTTGTGTGCATTCTTCTATCCAAGCAAGAAACAGTATTTTGACATACTGACCTGATAGCATGGATCCCTTATTAATAATCTCAGACAGATTAATACTCTAAGAAAATGGATGGATGAAGCTTGATTAACCCATTCCCTGTAAAAGAAATATTCCACACATAAACCAAATGCATTTTAAAAGAAGTGTTAAAATATGCCAAAAAAACACTTTGATTCACGAACTGACTAGAAGATTAGTGACCTGTAACAGTTGTACTATAGTATAGTACAACATACTATACTACAGAACTTTTAATACCATTTATATTCAAACATAGTAACAGCTTTAAATAAACTTATTTCATTATATGACCATTGCCAGGCCATCACTTATTATCACTGACGTGATGCAGGAAAGCACATGCACAAACTGATCATGCTTTGGTATAAACTTACTTTAAGTGTTTGGATCAAAGCCCAAAAGGGCAAAATCACCAAGAACCCACATATCAAACGTCAGTGCACAAAACACATTTATGTAAAAATATGGGTGCTACAGAAGTAAAAATAGCCACATTTGAAATACTTTGTTTAATTATCATAACCTATCCTGCGCATTAAAAACTCTAATATTATTAGTCCTTAGAATAATTTATTTAGTTTAAATGTTCTTGATACAGGATTATACTTTCAAATAGAACTTCCTCCTTTATATTTATCCATACAATTCCTCAGCACAGGACTAGGCAGAAAAGAAAGCATCCAGGGGCAGTAAACCTGCATAAAATACCAGTAACAGAATCACTATTTCCATTGGCTGCGGAAGAAGTATATCCCCATTTTCCTATTTAAAATAAACCTAAATTTGGACATCTCTGCACTGCTATTTTTGTTGTTGTTTTAACTGAGAGGACAGAATCTGTATTATCTGGGCAAGCTTCCAAGGATTGGAAGAAGTCTATGGGACATAGCAGTTTTCTTCCATTTTTATCATTTGCAGTTGGGAGCAATGCCAGTAGCTAAAAATATTTTGATAAAATTAAATGTTTTACAAATACATGCTAACAAAATATCAGCCCTTCTATGCCAATATGTTGCCCAAAAGAATACTATCTTTTTTCATGTTTTTATGATTCCTTACTTGGCCGCTTCAGAATGGCACAAAACTTTCTTGGAAAGAAAACATCAACCTGTACAGAAAATGCATTGGTCAGGTTTTAAAGTGGCCTGAAGATCATTACTGCAGCGGTTCTACAAAGTTACTCTGTCAAAATGCTGTGACTCTTGACACAAGTTAGTTTCTTTAACAGAGCAACGCATCTGGCACATTTCCAAGCAGGGACAGTAATTCTCTGAGCCTGGCTAGCATTTGGAGTCTCTTCTACTATAGTTACATTTACAATACATGTTACTAGATACCCTGGTGTGTGCAAAGCATATGCCAGCAGGATTTTTTCTGCCTGCTTAGTTATATTCCTTATCCAAACTACTTAAGCTAAGCTGATCACAGCTGTCTTACCTCCAACCAAGACTTCTGCTGACACAGCAACGCCAGTAAGAGGGTGTGATTTTCTTGCACCCAACCAACATCAGTTATGCCAGCAGAAGTATGTCATGCAAATCAAGGTGACAATTTCTAAGGCTCTGACACAGTGCAATGGCAGTAGTTCCAAAGAAAGGATATAATCATAATAAAGTATTTATAAAGGGCAACTAAATCATCTTTGTAACTGCACTTACCTTATGAGTTTTACATGCCTACTATATACTTGTTTCATTAATCTTACCAGAGTGCTTTGGTTTGTAATACAAGAGGCTGGTTTTGCTGCATCATTATCATCAACAGCAAGTGCCAAAGAAAACAAAAACCAAAATATGAGCTAGGTATGCCACAATGTATAAATAGAACCTCGGAGGACACAATGTAAATTCTTCTTAGATTTTTGGCAAATTAAGCTGAGCCACAGACATCCCATTGGTGGGTACTGAGATGATAAAGTTCACTTGCAAAAAAGAGGTACCAGATTTACAAGTCACTTAAATGATCTGTCTTAAACTCACTGCTATCTAGATAATCATAGATGAGATCCCTAGTTTCCTAGTTAGTTCTGAAAAAGAGTCTATGTGATTTTTTTTTTTTTAGGTTCTTCTGTAAATTCTAGCAGTTACACATAATACCTTTAAATGCTCTAGGATTCCTTCTTTAAGGTTCCGTACCACTTACTTAGGATTGTTTTACATGTACTTGGGCTTTAAAAAGGAAAAATAGAATGCACTGGTGTGTAGGAAAAGAAATCCTGAAAAATGCATTATTTTTTTTTCTCATTTATCTATTTTTTATTTTTTTTCAAAAAACACTTTTCTCTGTCCCCACTATTTTTTTAAGAACCTCACTTTTTCCTTGCTCAAATGAGAGTAGCTAAGAAAGGAATTTCCCTTTCTAATCCTGTTATACACACAAACACAAATATTAACAGTAGCATAAACTCATCTGAATTCTGAAAGCCACTGGCCTTTCTGTATAAAGGCAGCAGTCCCTAAAATACAAATAAAATTGGTAAAATAAAAATTAAATTTGAATATATATATATTACAGATACCAGATACGAACAAATCATCAAGGAAACACAGCAGCTGTTAGAATTCTGGTCATCCAAATTTCACCATATACCCAGTCCTTCCTTCCTCCTTCCTTCTTCCAAAGACTGAACATCCCATCTTCAAAGCCAATACAAAAGTGATTGTTTAAAACTGAAATTATGCAGAGATGTAAAGATGGTAGTTCCCATACAGAGGTCTGATGTTGAAACATATAAGCCATGTATTGTTGAAAAAATTGTTGAAATAATATGGAACATTATTTATGCACCTTGGTTCTTCACTTAAGGCAAGAAAGAGTGACTTGGATACCAACGTGTTCACTATACTTACCCGCAGGTAAGTCGATTCTTAACTAAAGATGTAAAGATCTCTTGAAACAGCTTATGACCAGGATGTTTGCTAAAATTTCTCTCATTCTTGTAGGTCACACTAACGAGGATTTAAAAGAAAAAAAATGCTGAATTGCTGATTATCTTGCCACAAGATGATTGCAGATTGCCAAAACTAAACATTAGCAAGAAAAATTAAGAAATGTTATATGAGAAGTTATTACGGAGTAAATCATTTCAGATTTCCAGACATTAACAGTATGGAAGAACATTCTGTCTCATGCATAATTTGGGCCTATTTCAATGGTATAATACAAGCTTTCCAAATAAGGAAACCATTACTTTTTAAAAATTTACTATATTAACTCTCAGCAGGACACTCTGCTGATTAGGAGCATGTGTCTGAAGCTGACAAAGGCAGGAACATCTGCAGTTAGCTTCAGAAAGATAAAAATATAGAATTCCTATCTCAGACAGTGGGTTAACATGAAAGTACAAGTAACAGACATAAGTATAAATAAAACGGCCTTCAACACCTCAACAAGCTTTGGACACAGAAAGATGTTTAGAAATACAACAGTGTCATCATATTAGCATTTTACTTTTTTACCTAAAGTTTTCAAGCTCAACAGCTTCTGATGATTCTTGCCATTGACCATGGGGGTTTTGTTCATTGATTTTGACATTTTGACAAGCTCTCGTCACACTGGTTCGACGATTTTCAAAATGTGTAAGTGGAAGCTAAGGAGGAAAGGGATAGTACTCACGAGGCAAACATCGCTTTTTAAGCTTTGTAAGAATATTATCAAGCAAAAGTACCTTTTCTCAAGTTCTGACTTGAACTTTGAACCTATAGCTTGCCATTATAAAATATACCTCCCCACCACCACCCCCTCGCAAAATAAAACTGGTGTGGTAGAAAACAGATGCAAAGCAAGGCTGCAAAACAAGTACATGGAGATATATAAAATGTAAAGAATAGTGTCTTTTAAAATTTGTAATAGTAAAGCTCAATAGAATCTGCAACGCACGCTCATTACCTATGTTCCTTACTGTCCTGCTTCTACAACTGCACAGCCTTCATACTCTTTTTAGGTTGTAGAATTCAGACATTTCAGCTTTCTGCTCAGAAGCAATTCCATGCCTCTACCCAAGAAGGGAGTGTATAAGTCCTATCTCACATGGGTGAAACCCTAAGTCATCTTCTCATATCTTTTTACAGATTAGAAAGGGAGAAAATATTCTGGCATTCCAAAGACTCACACCCATCACCATGTGTTGGGACTCTCACCCATCATCATGCATTGGTTTTCTCTGCTTCAAATGGCAAATACAAGATTCACTAAGTGAGTTGATGGGAAGGAGACATTACTGTGTCCTGTAAGTTTCATGCATTGATATTTATGCCAAAGATTTTTAGCTGGAGTGTTATTCTCCAGAGACAAACTGTGTATTGTTAAAATACTCATCTTATTTTACAGTCTTTACCACTCTTCATCATGTTGTAACTAATACATCTCATGAGCCCACCTTCTCATGACATTGTGGAAAGCCATGGAAGAAAACTAATCTGCTAGGCTACTTGACTATTTTTAACAATAGCTGGATAAAACCTGATCAAGATTCAAAGCAATTTTGTCCTGTTAAAATAAAAACGACGGCAGAGCAGGGTGGGCTGCAGGTCAGTTTCCTGCTTTCACACTTTCTAAATGGGATTTGTCCCACAGAGAAGCTCTAACTTTGCCAAAAGAAAAAAAAAAGACATCCACTACACAAGATTTTGCCAATATGTTTAATCACAGTGGAACACAATAATAGTATTTTATGCATCTGCCACAAACCATTACTTATAATTATACAATTCTACAGCATGTTTAATAATAGTTATTGAAGAATACCTGTTGGTTCCTTAACTGCACATTTAAGAGAGACAGAAGTCTTTTAAGATCAGAATAATCCCTAGGATAAAACACAATAGCATAAATACATGTGTTAATAGTCACATAAAAGCACTTCTCTAAGCATAAAGAAAGTTAATGAGCAGCAATGCTACTGACAGAAAAGATAGTTTTCTAGTGTTGCCTAGTGGCCCCATTTTGCATACAGAAGAATTTATAGCTTCTCCAGAATGCCTTAAATCAACAAATGTATAAATAAACTTTGTGACCAGAGTAACAGTTGTCATGTTTATACTGCATTTCAAATTAAGCATTCTGCTTTGGCAGCTAGTGCAAATTCCACTTGGGACCTGCTGAAGTTCAAAGAAAGAAAGATGTCAGATACTATACCTCTTAGATATCCCATGAGGTTTTTTGTCTGTTGCCTTTTCTGTGCTCTTCAACTTTTTGTCCTGATCAGGCATTGTGTATCACTATTATCATCACGTGGCTAAGAACTTATTTCCTAAAAAAATAAAGGAGATGATAGATAGAATTGTATCACAGCAGCAAAAGCAACACTTGTTTACTTATAGAACTAACTGATATAATTTTAAGAAAAAAACAGCTTTACCATTTTTTTAACATGAACCCTTGGGAAATATATGAGGATATCCTTTAGAATTCCAGATATTAACAAGAAAGTAATTAAGCTAACAAACAGAAACCTCAGTTTCCCAACACATGAATAGATAATACTGACTGTCTTTTTATTACATGTATTCTTTATAAGGATTTTTCCTCTTCCTCCATCTTATTACCATTATTTCTCACTGTAGATTGACTATTCATGTTATAACAGTGCTTACAGGCTGACATCAAGGTTGTCTCATGCATGCTGCTGTCCAGACAACAGAGAATAGTTTTATTATCTAAATAAACAAGACAGATGAAGGGTAGAAACAAATGAGATGCATACATCATGCAGTCTACCAAAGAACCACATAAATTTTCAGTCATTTGGAATCTGGGTCTTCTGAATTTCAGGTGAATGCCTTATACCAACAGTGCCCAGCTTTTCCTGCAGTGGCACGCACAGCTTGTTTCCACGCAGATGAGCAGTTGTATGGCCTGGCCTCAACAGGGTCATAACTGCATATCAGATCCACTGCAGACAAACGTTTAATTGTAGGCCTGACTTCCCACCAAAGCCCACAGCTTGCTGTTTGCACAGCATACAACGTTTGTTCAGTGAAAATCTTATAAAGCCCTAGAAAGAGACAGAAAGACATAGAAAGAGGATAGTCAAGAGAAATCTCTTGCTTCCACAAAAGCAATAATATTGATGCAGATCCTGCTGTGAGTAAAAGAAGGATGGTCAGTAACAGGCTGGAGCTGAAGAATTATCCCAGAGAACTGGGATAATACAGTTATTATCCCAGTTATGCTGCATACAGCTGCAGCGTATTGGTAGAGCATATCCCAATTTAAAAAATTAGGATAAAGTAACACTGGCAGATCTTTTGTACCCATTTTACTATCGCCTAAACATGGACCATTTGAATTTTCCTGTTTGTATCACTTCAATAGGATTTCCCATATGAAATATGACGGCTTCCTTTTCTCTTTGTGCAGTGTGGAATTCCTCTGCTATTGATTTTTATTCTTCTTCCTCATAAAGGCAAAGAAGAAGAAAATCTGGCAGAAAACAAAAGCATGGTAAAGTACCAGAAGCTGCCACTTCCCAACTGAAAATCAAGACTTATTTTCCCAGTTATAGGTTCTCATCTCAGGCACAGAACTACCCAGAATGAAACTGTTAATAGTATGAACTCATGCACTGCATTGACTCACCTTGGAAGGTGGTCTGTAAACCCAGTTCATATGCTTCTATTCTACTGAGCAAGCGTTTATCCTACCAGCAGTCACCCCAGAGAGTGATTGATCTAGATCCCCAAGATATTCCTCCTCTCTCCTCCATGCATCGACTCAACAGGATTATTAAAAAACAGCTCAGAACACTTCTGTTGTATCAGTTATCACCAGGGAATTAATATAAACAGGGTCTGTTCTCCCAGTCAGCAGGCAAAAATCCTGGATTCAGATTAAGCCAAATGAAGTTAGTTTAATTCATTTATTTCCTTTGATTGAAATGCAGTGAAAGTTAAGAGAAGCCATGTACGTTGCTAAGCATTTTTAAGAATCCATGACTAAGAAAATCCATGTATTGTTTTAGTGATATGTGTATTTTATATCCTCTCCCCTAATACTCCAAACCATTGGGCATATTGCTGACACATGACACAGTGCATTCGTCACCTCACCTTTGCACAGTAAGAAATATTGCAAAACTCACAAGTTATCAACTTGCTCATGTGTATAAAGAACAGATTTCAACTAATTAAAGAATCACTGAAATCGCACACAAAAAGAACAAACAAGTAATCCTTGGGTCAAACCTCTAAACCATAAACAGCAGGATTCCCAGTCTGGCCAGGATTTAATCCAAAACTGTTAGGTCTTTGTGATTATTACAAAATCTTACAGCTGTAGGCCAACCTTGCTTTAGGGCTACAAGCCCAATGCTTTTGCTGTTTGCAGTATCTTGGTCAAGATGAAACAGAGTAAAAGACTAATATTGTAAAAGTTCTTTGTCATTACAGATCCAAATGTCCCTGTACAGAATTGAACCTGATAAACATCAGTTCTCTTCATGCTATCTGAGGATGAAGGGATGCAGCTCACACAAGGATGCAGTCCTCACTCAGCTCTGAGGACTTCTCCTGAGGTTACCTTTCCATTTCCTAGAAGCCCCTAAACCAGCACAAGTCAGGAAGCACTTCAACAAAAAGAGGCCAGCCCTGGCCACAGACGGACTCTGCACAACCTCTTTGGTCTGTCAGCACAGTGTCACCACAGGTGCACAGCTCACTGGATTGGGAAACCTGATTCAGGTTACAAATAAGCTCTCCTGCTTTAATCCTGATTACAGTTTGTCCCCAAGCAGTTCTGCTGTACAAGGGCAGGGACAATATGTAGAAAGGAGCATTTATCCATGCAGCTTAGTGTTGTGCCCTTCAGCTTTATTACAGAGATAAACCAATCAATCAACAGGCAGCTGCTGGTGAAAACAGCAAATCCTTTCCCCCTTCCCTTTCCCTTACCAACCTCAGGCATTCCCTGCCACTTCTTCAGCTGATTTTACTCAAACCTTAGTCGGCTTAGGCAGAAAACAACATGCCTCCCTTTGTATAGTCAGTTTTCTACCAATTGAGCTCACTGTTAGTGTGGCCTGATGCGTATCTCTGCTGACAAGGCAAGGAGCAGGAAT